TGTTCTTTTTTACCTTGGTACCGGGAAGTTCATTCTCCTGTCTTTTGGCTAGTCTAGCTTCTTTTATAGCACTTTGCGCTCAGACTTCCGCGATTGAAATACGTGCCTCGGCGATGCTTCGAGCAATGTCAGCAACATTGGAACCAATAACTATACTCATCACGTCCATGATCCGCAGTGGACTGCTGAAACCTTCATTGTAAATGCAGGCAGCAATGTACGCGACGATATGAACAGGTTTTGTCTCACTTTATAAAATCTTCATTCAAATAAGCGTGTTGCGACTCTTGTTATTATTGTGATGATATTCATTTAAGCAATGCTCGAGAATATCGTCATTACTTAAATTTTAATGTACGGAACGAACAGCTTCTCCCATACGAGAATCTTTGAAAGTTCATGACGGTACTCTGTTTCATATTGTTTCTATTTGCACCAACTAGAGACTCTTTGACTCTTTATTACTTGAACATTTATGCAAATACGTTGCACATATTAATCTTTTCGTATCAGTCATGTGTGTACAATTCTACCTAATTGCTAGTTTATAGAAGACGCTAACTAAAGTTCGTCGATCAATTTGATTATAAGGTTACCCATTTTTTCAGCCGTAGACCTTTGTTATCCTTTTTTATTTGTCAAAGTTTTGAACCCATGCGTTTTCTGCACGTGACCAATGAATTCTAGCGAAGTCTCTTATAATACGGCGCGTATTGCCTACTAAACAGCGTATATGCCGTGTTTCCGTGTTAATGCTTACCATGCACGCTTGGTATTAAGAAAATATATCGTCTGTCGAAGTACAGTATTGACATAGGACCGATTGTTTATAATTTTTAAAACTTTAGTATATCGATTTATGGTAAAACAATTTTTTTGATTCTTTCCTTCACAAAAGTGGTACAACTCCTTGTATAATTTGACTTGTTTCTGTATGAGTTCTGTATTTAAAAATTTGTACAAAAAATAATCTAATTTAATCTAACCTTTCCTAGAATTTTAGATACTTAATGAAGTTATAAATTTGGCCCTTTTGGACTATCCTTTCTGTAAGAAATTCCTTATACTATAATTCGATGTTTAAACATTACGACGGAAAAACGTTGACTAAATATTCTTGCACGCTACTGTATTCTAAGAAAAAATAAGAGCAATGCATGTAACGAATTGCGTGTTGGGTCAGATGGTTTAGTCTTCGTAAGGCTTGTCCTGATCAAGAGTTACTCGACACTGTCCACATTCTATTTACCAATGGTACCACATTCCCTGTAACACATTCACTGCATGGTACGGATCATACATGCCTTGTATCGTATTTCGTTCCGTACGAGACATACTTCGCTAACTTTCGTTATATGTATGTTAAGAGGATGTCTTCGTAAATTTTCCACTATTTCTATCAGACTTAACCGAGCGTTACTGAAAAGTTCACGTTCCTATTTGCCCCAAATCGTTAAATATGAAAGTCTAGTACTGTGAGTGTAACTAAAAGATTTGTAAAAGTGAGTCTAGAGTCTGTATCTTTCGTCGAACTAGAGTCTAATTTGTAAAATAAGGTTGAAATTCTCAAAGAATATAATTTTGGTACATTTCCAGGCTTCTAATTATTTGGTAATATACATAGATTCAAAATTAAAATATAGTTTGTACGTATATAAGCATATGATGACCACTCTATACCATAGAGATGAGCATTACTCTACTAAATCTGTTTAACTAATTAATATTACGCGATACAATCAAAAATTTAGTCGTCAGAATTAATCACAATTGACGTTGGTTGATTCCTGGACATAATCGCTTACAACGTGTGAATTACTTGTTAATTGCTTATGATGATTGATGATTGAGTTAATCGTTAATCACTCACGGGGATTGAGAATTGAATTAATTGTGTTTACTTGAGATTTCATAATCAGTTACTTTGCAATCGACAATAATTACAATTGTAATTGCCGAATTACAGAATGTAATTTGTGATTGTTAATTATTAGTGAGATTTTATTTTACACAACAACCTTTCATGGATTTTTTATAAACTTAATTTATTCTAATACAAATTAATTCGTATAAACTTTTATTCGAAAAGTATTATTTAAATATGAATTTTAACCATTGTTCACGAATAATGTACAATTTAGTCAAATACGAATAAAATTCTTCACTTATATCGTTACGCAAATGATTATTCGAATAATACCGAATTCTGCCATTGTTATGAGATACTTTTATCAGTGATATTTATTTAATAATAAGGACCTAATCTATATAAAGGTGATATAAATTAAATGGATGGTGATGTAATTAGAAAAAGTAAAATTATAAAAGTATGTATTCAGTAACATTTCGTTGGTTATAGATGTATTGTTAAATGCAAATATTTTGTGTATAATTTTATCAGTGCTACTAAAAAATATTTTTTCGAATTAAATACTTGCTATAAATAATTGCTTTCCATAAGCGAATCTTATACAGGGTGTTCGGACACCCATGGGAAAAAATTTTAATGGCAGATTCTAGAGGCCAAAATAAGACGAAAATCAAGAATATCAATTTCTTGACTGAGGCTTCGTTAAAAAGTTATTAAAAAATTAAATTAGAAAATTTCAAATCGTTCTAAAAAAATTATTTTCGGATGCAGGGGTCGATTACAATAATTTCTGGTCATTACACATACCCTCGAAATCCTACGCATTTTCGAGAAAAAAATTCCTTACTGAAAATCTAATCTGAGGCCAGAAATGATACCCTGAAATTTCATCCGATCTTTAAAATGTCATAACTTTTGAACGGATTGGAGGATTTTAAAGTTTCAAAATGCAAACAGCGCGTATTTTGGTGCAGAATATGTAGAAATTCCAAAAATATCCGAAAAGTTGTTCCTTAACCCCGTAAAGTGAGAAAACCCCCCCAAAAACTGGTCCAATTTTCAAACGGCCATAACTCCTACAATAGTAAAGGTATCTCATTGAAATTTTTTTCTGAAGCAGAGTTCATAGGTACATACGAAAACGTATTAGATAACTTTTCTGTAGAGCGTCAAACAAATTGATTAAAAACGAAAAACAAATTTTTAAGAAATATCGACAGGCAGGTGCCTAAATTTTTTGACGAAAAAGAAAATTTCAAATAGTTCTAAAAAAATTATTTTCTGTTGCAGAGATGAATTACAATCATTTTTGGTGAATAAACATAGTCCCGAAATCCTGCGTATTTTCGAGAAAAAATTCAGTACGGGCGTAACTTTAAACGTTAATAACTTTTTAAAGAAGCCCCCATCAATAAATTCGTATTCTTGATTTTCATCCTATGTTGGCATGTAGAATCTCCCATTAAAATTTTTCCCAGGAGTGGGCGAACACCATGTATACGTGTTTTAAGGCAAGAGGCCTGCTATATTTTAATATTCTGATGATGATCAGGTTGTGGTTGAAAAAATTGAATTTATTTCTTAAATGTCTTCCATATATTTAAAGACGATTAAAATTCACGGTTAAATAACGGAATGGTATTGATTTACATACAGAATGAAATGTATCGCAATAAATATGCGCGTAATATCTTTCTTAATACCGGAAAGCATAGAAGATAAGACTCAAGTGAATGTACGATTACATGCATCTTTCATTCATCGCGGAACTCGTTTGATCTTTATTGTATCATTTCGGGAAAAGAAAGTTTCATGTTCGTTTCTCCGGTTAAGATATCGTAGGTTCTCGACAATGGAAAAACGGAAAAATCTGTTCAACGAGGAATCAACATCAATAAATTATTGACCTCGTTGGTAGGCGTCGTTCAATCCTGAGAAACAAGATATCGATATGCCATTTAGTATTATTCGAGTCGCATCGAATGCAGCATGTAATGTTTTTTCAACAAAATCTTTGTGGAAAGTTTCGATTTCGATCACGTATTTCGTTCACCGAATTTCATAATAATTTCGCGTTTCGCTTGCAGCGTTTATCTTTGCACTCGATAATCGGACTGTTGCATTGAATTACATAAATCATCATCTCGTTCAAACGTGCCACTTGTAATTTTAAAGAGTAAGCATATTCAGTAACATAGATTTATCATAAAAAAAAATGAAAGAATCTGTTTTTTCTATGCACAGGTTTACATACATACTTTTCACTAGTATCAAGCTCTGCGGATTATTAATTTTATCAAGAGAACTCTTTTTTCAGTAACATATTATAGTCTAACAAAACTACAGTAGTTCGATTGCTTTATTAGTCATCGGTTAATATAATAAGGTATTCAATTAAAAACAGTCACTTCTTTTAAATGGTTTTGCTTAACTCAAATATGTTACTGAGATAAATAAAATAGTTGATGTAAATCAGGGAAAGTATAATGTAATAAAGTGAACTTGTAGCTTTTGAACGTAAAGTAATAAGCTTGACGTTAATGGGATGATAAACAGCGGCTACTTCAACAGCTAGGTCATAGTTGTCAAATAAATACGCGTTAATAAATGTTTCTGTTAAAATAGTTAGAAATTATTGTAACTTATTCGATATAATGGCTTGTTACTATCCATTGTTAGTCTTATATAAATTGATATTACTCATTTTGTACACAAATCTTTTTCATGATTAATAAGAGACCGATTGCATTGTTTGACGGCACGATATAATCCTTTATTCATAGACATATGTTTTTAATTATTTAAAATTCTATTGAAAACAAACTAGTAATTAATTCTCATTTTTATCAGCACACGATAATAAAAGAAAAGATTCGTCTCTATAAGTTCAGTATATTGAAAAAGAGTTATGACCGAGGAATCAATAAAAGTATATTTATCGTAGCGATTAACATTTGTAAAAGTGTACGTGCCGCAGTTTCATATTCTGCATTACTGACACGGCAAGTTTCAATCTTATTTCACTCTTTTCTGTAAAGGAAGTAACATTCAGCGAGAAATCTTTCCATTAAAAACTCTCAATTATGCATCGTTGTAAAAAAAGTATTCTTGTTGAAGTTAATTCACTCACTAGCAATGCGATGTTTGGTAGTATCATTATGTCTTCTTCGGTTCCGTTGCTCATTTCCGGTACATAGATCAGAGGATGAAGATCGAGCGCCGTTACAGTCCCGTTGCTATTAAATTTAACGTCTCCGTGTTCTAATAATTCCCTGAAATCAATGCATTAACTTCATTGAATTTTCTGTACAATGTATCACTCACGAATTAATTCATACACAAAAATCGATTTTCAGTGAGAAAGTACCGTTTGTGTCTAGGTTTATTTGTTATAGAAAAAATAATAGATTTCCTTTTTTTAAATTGCATTTAGTGAAATATATTCAAACAGATGAAAATTATTTTGATTAATAAATTTTCTAAAAAGAAATAGTTTTAAATTCTCTTCATAAAATCCGACATTTCATATGCATCAACCTAATACATTAATACAAATTATGGAAAGCTAGATGAATTATTTGGCGTTTCCAGGGTAAATGAACTACAATCTACATTCAACACACTTATACTAAAATCCTACTGATTACCTCATTCTAAATTTTGTTGAGCGTCAAGGCATATTTTCTCCTAGTTTGACAAGTTTTTTTTGATAATTTAGACTTAATTTTAGACATTTCAAATGAACTGTACGTTGCGGCAGGTCTTTGCGACGATGTATGTTTTAACGGTATTGTGCGACGTGCCAATATAGAAAAGGAATTTACATTTTTAACAAAGCGAGTTATTTCGATATAGCTATAATGGATTGACCCGGGGTATGCATTTTCAGCTAGAGCGGTTGCGAATATTTTGTATGTTTCTCTGACAGATTAATTAGCCCGTGTATTTTTAATTTCGGGTAGAACGTGTGCGAGTAATTTATGTTCACTATTCCCGACCTCTGATGAGATAATACGACAAAACATATTCTATAACATTCCAGGGATTCTGAGGAATTTAGTAATGAAAATTCCATTCAAATCGGTGTAGTGATTTTTAAAATCATCAAGTACAAACACTCATAATTTATTATTTACTAAAACAATCAATGTCTCCGAGTAGAAAGGGCTAATATTAGAAATATAAAACTCATTTTTACAAACCAGAAGGTATTTATAATCTTTGCAGGAATATAGTATTTTTGAAAGAATTGGGACAATATTATTTCAACGTTTCATAATGGTATTTGATGTAATCGATCGTAACCAACATAAATTATTATTTGACTCACCTGTAGACGTAGGGGCCGAGTTCTTGAAACCTCAGCTTACTTTCTTTGCCGGATAGGTACTCCTCGTGATTCGTCACGTTGAAAATATAGACCTTCAAGTAAAGAGACACGTCGGGTTTTCGCCACATCTCAAAAATCTCGCCGCCTTCGCCAAAGATTATTTTCAGTTTGAAGAGTAGCTCATACGGTTGAAATACGTACAATACGCATCCGGTGGCAAGGCTGAGCGAACCCAAAGTCATCAGTATGAAAATACCTGCATCGAAATAAGACATGATTGAATGTGGTATGCGCTAACTAACGGACGGTCGTAAAATGTCTCCTTATATCGCGTCATTTAACACATCCAGCGAACAAAAAGCAGTAATAAAAGTATGAAAAAAAAAATGCATGATTAGTCAATAAGAAACTTTATTGGTTAGTTTACACAATAATTTGTAAGCTGCAAACCGCAATGAGAAGTCTCTCGTTTCACTGGCAAGGCGTGACGCGATAAATGTTTCATCGATTTTCTTGATTGAACATTACTGCAAATTGAGTCACTATTTAATAGACATTTAGAGAAATATTTTTGTTACTAATACTCATCGGCCATTTAATATTTACTTATTTCCAAAGATTTATCTAAATGTGTACACATTTTATATTACGAATTGAAGTTTTCTGTAAAGAATAAATATTATCTTTTATATAAAATCCGACATTAATTGAAATACTTTTGCTGTAACATTTTCGTCACGAAAAAATTTTTCTTTTTAATAGGTATCACTAATTATAGAAAAAAACTCTTAAACAGACGTAGTATTTAAAGAAATTGATTATTTTGTTGTTAAAAAGTAATTTTAAAGTTCACGTACGTATGTGTGCATATACAGGGTGTTGGGCCACCCCTGGGAAAAATTTTAATGGGAGATTCTAGAGGCTAAAATAAGATGAAAATCAAGGATACTAATTTATTGATGGGGGCTTCGTTAAAAACTTATTAACGTTTAAAGTTCCACCCGTTCTGAATTTTTTTCTTGAAAATGCGCAGGATTTAGGGGTATGTCTATTCACCAAAAATGATTGTAATTGACCCCTGCAACTGAAAATAATTCTTTTTAAAACGATTAGAACATTTTTTTTCGCCGAAAAGTTTTACATCTGCTCGAATTTTTTTCTCGAAAGTGGGTAGGATTTCGGGGGTATGCCTATTAATAAAAAATGGTTGTAATTGACTCCTGCAAACGAAAATAATTTTTCGGTGAATGATTTGAAATTTTTTAATCTAATTTTTTAATAACTTTAAAATGTCATAACTTCTGAACGGATTGGAGGATTTTAAAGTTTCAAAATGCAAACAACGCGTATTTTGGTGCAGAATATGTAGAAATTCCAAAAATATCCGAAAAGTTGTTCCTTAACCCCGCAAAGTGAGAAAACCCCCAACCCTAAAAACTGACCCAATTTTCAAACGGTCATAACTCCTACAATAGTAAAGGTATCTCATTGAAATTTTTTTCTGGAGCAGGGTCCATGGGTATAGACGAAAACGTATTAGACAACTTTTCTGTAGAGCGTGAAACAAATTGATTAAAAATGAAAAACAAATTTTTAAGAAATATCGACAGGTAGGTGTCTAAATTTTTTGACGAAAAAGAAAATTTCAAATAGTTCCAGAAAAATTATTTTCGGTTGCAGAGATCAATTACAATAATTTTTGGTGAATAGACAAATCCGAAATCCTACGCAGTTTCGAGAAAAAAATTCAGTATTGGCGGAACTTTAAACGTTAATAACTTCTCAACGAAGCCTCAATCAACAAATTGATATTCTTGATTTTCGTCATATTTTGGCCTCTAGAATCTTCCATTAAAATTTTTCCCAGGGGTGGCCGAACACCCTGTATATGTATGTATATTAGAATGTACAGCAAGCCCAAAGCGTTTAAGTCGATGAAGCTGGAGATTTTATATCGTCCATTGGTCGACGATTATGTATGTGAGATTTCAGTGGGATGAAATTTCTCTCCGTATCGTGGTATTTCCGTGACATCGCAGAATTTGAATCATTGCGATATTGTAATTTTTCAGGCAGTGGATTTGTATCTCAAAAGTTATTCATCGAGTTTGTCACTTCCGACATCGTTCAAAATGTTAATGTGCGAACGATTCGTTGAATTTACTTGACATTCTTCGTCCCTTTCATATACCTGTGCCGATTAATAAATTTTAAGAGGACACAGACGAGACTCGAGAAAGATTGCCACGTTACGCTTGTTTCAATAATGCCTGATATGCTTAATGGAAATACGTGCCCACGCGATCATCTATCTTTTCCAAGTTGCACGCTCATTTCGGTGCGATTCGTGGATACAACCAGCAGTTAATCGTGCAATTTGGAAAAGTTTCACGTAGATGCATCCTCGCCGAGCGTTATGCTAATAGCTTTTTTCAGATTGAAATAATGCGCGTTCCACATTTAGCCTTGGTCTTCCTTCGAAATTTGCCAGACCTAACCCAACCTAATCTACATGATTCACTAAGTTTGTTTACTCTGTGATCGTTTAATCTCGTTATTCAACGATTACGCGTTGAAAGAGGACAGACAGAAACGGTATGAGACACTATTCTGACGTGGTCTTCGACGTGGGATAATTAACGAGATACCTATTAAATTTGCTCATTCGTGAAGCATCGTTTTCGCCGCGGGGACATTGAAATCCTTGATGGAATGAATTTATCGCGTCGACATGTAGCATATGACATACCTTATTTATCGTCTCGAAGAAAAAAAAGTACGAAAAGCCTTGGATCGTCTTTGAGATTAAAAACGAAGGATTTTTCCGTTACATTCTACATAATTATCTATTTTTGTTCAGTTACACGCATACTGTATTTCGATCGTATTGTTTTATTTATCCGAAGGAAGTCATTTTTGTTGCTTTGTTGTAGGAATACGCTTGGCTTTCTTCTTATGGATAAGTTTCTTAACCGTTGATTCAAAGTTTTGTCGATGATCTAGATTCGATAAACTTCTTTTAAATGTATTTCTTACATTTTCTTGGTTAATTAGTTTTATTCGAGAATGTTGTACAAGTTTTGGTCATACGAAAGACAATAAATGAGTAAACTTTGAATAATCATTTTGATCTAAAAATATTGCATAGAAGAATGCTCAAGAATGTTTGTAATACGATTCTTTATTTGGACAACCCTCTCTTTTAACTTTTCCAATTCTACAATAGAGGGGCAGCAATTTTTGTGTTTACTTTAATCATAGAAATCAGAATTATTAAGTGAGTAATCGTCACTGAGATTTATCAGTAATCACAAACCACATTTTGTAATCAGTTGTTTCCTTTCTCTAGAATTCGAGTTAATAACACGTGTGACATTTTTATCGTTGCGTGACATCTACGAAAATAGAAATGGTCGAATATTAAACACGATGCTAATTGTTGGTTTCCTGAATCTCGAGTATTTAAATCCTCGCTAATTATTTTCAATTTTCGGCGAATTTTCATTTTGAAGCTGTCCGCAAGGTGAGTTTTATTTGACACGTGCTATGCGATTGTAGTCACTGTCAATAATATGTAACGCTACACACTCCCATTGATTCATCGAGACACACGATGAACATATAACCGATTGCTTTGGTAAACGTTAAGTAATCTTATCGTAAATGATGAAGAATACCAATGCGTCACGGAAATACAACTCGCAAACATCGATTCTCATAGATTTGCAGGACGAAGCTGTTGATGATTTATTAAACGGTTCGAAATAAGATTCACGAGAAAACATCATCAATTTATTGCCTCTTGTTGTATATCAGAATCGTTTTAATCGATAAACATGATTGCATAATGTTGAACAAATTGCACGTGTTTATCGAGGCGGAACACTGAATACAAGTTAATGAGATTCGAATAATAGAAAAGAAATCTTGTTGAACAAAGAAATTCGACGAAACGCGTCTGCTATGTGTCAATAATTTTATATTAGGAATGTTAATTGCTTCCATTATTATTTTCAAGGAATATTGTTTTGGAATTGTTGGTACGAAGTTTGTCCTGCACGACCCACGTTTCGTTTCCAACGCATTCGTTACGAATTTTTCACGTTGATGTTCGCCAAGTTTCTCTCAAACGAATAACTGCAGAAGTCCTAAAGAAGGATTAAGGATTGACAAATACATAGTTGTTTGTACGTTTCGTAGAAGGAGTCATTTTGCTCTTGACTATTGCAAGATTGCTGGCAGTGCGGCACGATGTGGTAATAATTTTCCGACAGTAATCGGGACGCGACTGCAAATGCACCATCCAATAGAAAGTGTATATTTGCCCTCTGTCGTTATATTTTATATCCATGGAATCGCAGGTTTTTTTTATGAATGTTCAACTCGTGAAATACCAGCTTCTATTCGTGGAAAAGAATGTTACAAAACAGACGGCGGGAAAACAACACGTTTCGTTGGTCTTTCATAACCGTCGAACCCAGCCTTTGCAAATCCATCCACGGATTAATAACTTTACGAATTTTAAATTTCAACCCGAAAACCCTGTATATAATATAAAATAAATGTCAAAAATAATTAGTAGTAAATTCTGAACGCCATACAGCCAATTCGAAACTTTTACATGTTTGCATACCTACAAATGCTTTGATACCATTGATTTTTTCTGTAAGTGATAGTATTACTCGAAATTTTCAATAGTTTTTACTATATATTGATGAATTTCTTATATTTCTAGTACACTTGACATGCAAAAATAAATGAGAAATATAAAATAACATTTTTGTGTATGACTTTCTATTACAGTGAAAAACAACTTTGAAGATTTGTCGAATGTGCGTGCATTTGACTAATTTTTAACACAACAATAACATGGTAGCATGTTGGACATAAAATCTAACAGAATCCTTTAAGAGGTAAGTATTTTATCCTTATTTACAAAAATATACCAATAAAGACACAATCTATTCTAAAATCCATCATATAGGAACGAACATAACAACTTTGATAATCTGTGGGATACGAGTACATTTGAGTAATTGAATATCTCGAACTCGATACAAATATGTGTAGTTTTAGAATGGATATAAATGGTGCCCATCCTCTATTTTAATGTCTTTCTAAAGTTTTGATAGACTGTTTGCGTTGTTGCATTTATAAACATTTAATTTCTTTATATAGTTTATAGTTCATTTATAATAATTATTATTGTCGTATATTAAAATATAGAACTTTACAATTTTAAAATGAACAATTTGC